ACAATTGATGAATAGCAGACCATGGAAATCAATATTGGCTGAAACATCTGAATCAGTGAACTTCTATTTAGTTAATTGTGAGCTTTAAATGTCCCTTTGGGTTGTAGTCTTAGTTCCATGATAGGAAGTAGTCAGCAGATTATTAAAACATTCAGGGTCAGGGTGAAATTAACTTCGACTGTTCTTTGAATGCATCATGAGGCGACTTCTGGTTTTGTGCCTGGACATTTAACGAGTCATGCTGCATGTCTTCCTGAAGTCACAGCTTCACAGTCAGTACAAAAGTCTGCCAAACACATTTGTAACAAAGACTTGCCTTTATTTTTAAACTTTAGAAAGATATAAAACATTTTGCAAATACAAGAAGGGCTCGTACAAAGTCTAGATATGTTTTCCAAAATGCTTGATTTGTAACTATTATGTTTTCAAGGTTAAGAATATGCTTGAATTTGAATATATTCTCTATTTTACGGGGTACTATTATGGGGTTCCATCATAGCCTGTATGGAGTTTTCATGTTTTTGGTCTTCTGGTGTCGCACAAGCCACATAAATCATCCAAAAATATTGCTTTGGGTGTAAGGAAATTCTGTGAGCTATATTTCTTTTACACATCACACCAGTTCTGAAGTCTTTACACTGGCTTCCTGTGTGTCAAAGAATTGATTTCAAAATATTACTGCTGGTTTATAAATCATTGAATGGTTTAGGCCCAAAATACATTTCTGCTCTCCTGCTTCATTATGAACCATCCAGAACTCTCAGGTCTTCTGAGACGGGTCTGCTTTCTGTCCCCAGAGTCAGAACTAAACATGGAGAAGCAGCATTCAGTTATTATGCTCCAAATATCTGGAACAAACTCCCAGAATCCTGCCGGTCCACTGCAACTCTTAAATCCAGGCTGAAGACTTTTCTTTTTGCCACTGCTTTTAATTGAACTATTCATATCTTAAACTGCACTGTAACTTTTATCCATGTATTTTTTCTTTTAATGTTTATTTTATTATCTTTGCTTTTTAATGACTGTTTTTAAATGCCATTTTCTTAAAGGGCCCATGTCATGCTTTTCCGGTTATTACCCGCCCCCTTGTCCCAAATGGACCAATCCGCGGAGCACCTCACACACCAGGATCCCTTGGCTAACTAACAGGGAGTCCCCATTGACTTGCATAGAGCTTCCTGAACGCTGGTAATAGACGAGTTGGGATCGCGGAGAAATTCTCTCCGCAGACCCATTCTCACAGCGTTATAAACCTTTTTCTTACTCAATATCAAGCCACACTTATTGTTTTTACTTCGGCTGTGAGTGTTTGTGTGTGCTCAGGATGAGTTTCGCTTGTTCTCGCTGTATCACCGACCCGGAAACTTGTCCGCTCCTCGCAGCAGCGGCGAGCAGCAACGAGCCTCGCAACGTCCCGACCAATCAGAGCACACTGGGCTCACAGGGAGGGGGGGGGGGCAGGAGCTCCAACAAGCCGTTTAGGACAGAGAGTGAATACCTGGTGAATACACATACTATACAGAGATGCTGTATGAGAAGCCAATGTGATTTTGGAAAATTGCACAATTTAAATCTATTCTAGTAGACCTCAACAATGGAATTATGATCAGTAGAAATGGCCATGACATGGGACCTTTAATGTCTTTCATTTTTGTAAAGCACTTTGAATTGCCTTGTGTTGAAAGTTATAAATACGATTCCATTCATAATCAAAATGTAGCTGAAGTGATAATCTTCATGAGTCGGGATATCCCTGGTTGAGGTACCTTCAAATAGCTTGAGAAGAGCTGTACGGGCGTGTGAGATACCGTGATGTAGGGTTGAATCAGTCAGTGTAGACGTGTGTCTCAGGGAGGATGTTTAGTATCACATTGTTTTAAGTGAGAAAAAGTCAGCTATGTGTTTGCTGCAGCCTGGTCTTAGCTGTATGTTCAAGGTAGAAATATACCGCAGGTGTTTTTCTGTTTAGATGAGAAGAAACACTGACTTCCTGATCATTTCCTTTCTCTCAGGGGAGCTGACTTGTTGGTATTCAGGTGTGTGTGTGTGTGTGTGTGTGTGTGTGTGTGTGTGTGTGTGTGTGTGGTGTGTGTGTGTGTGTGTGTGTGTGTGTGTGTGTTGTGTGGTGTGTGTGTGGTGTGTGTGTGTGTGTGTGCTGTGTGTGTTGTGTGTGTGTGTGTGTGTGTGTGTGTGTGTATGTGAGAGTTTGTGCAGATTATTTGAGTCCCCACTCCCCACTAACACCACAGTCCCGCTGCTGCAGTGATTGTCTGATTTCCTTTGAAAACACGCTGGCATGCTTCTAGTTAATACCTGTACACATGTTTCTGCTGCAACAGGTATTTCCTGTTGAACGTTTCAAAAATGACATACAAAAGGCATTCAAAGCCTAAAATAGAGCCCTGTCAACTTCAACACTGGCATGAGTTTGCACGGACATGAGACAGGTGTTAGACAGGTTCAAATATTTTAGAAGTTAAGTTATGTCTGAAAGGTAATGGCTTCCTTGAGTTGCAAGGTAAGATTCCAGTGACGTAAAGAACAGACTCATCTCCCTGGGATGTCCCGTTTTTAGTATGAGCTGCACAAGAAAACATGCATCAAAGTTTTATCACAAACCTTATTTCTGTTTTTCTCTGTTACAAACATGACAAAAACTACATGAGAACACATGCCTGTAATGGATACTGTTGTTATTATGAACCCTGGATTTGGGTATCAGGCGGGACAACAGAACTGAATCCACTTGGCATAAACTGTGTGATATTATCTCGTGCTGTAAATAGTCCGGGCCTTATTAACTCTCGCCTGTTTTGTCATGTTCTTCTGCGTGTAAGTCTCACTTGACCTGCACTATTAAGAGCGTGGGAGTGTTTTCTTCTTAAGAGGAATCGTGACAACATAAAACGCCTTCACAGACATGAATACTTCTCACTCTGAGTCAGTCTTGCTGTTGGGAATAAGGGCCAAATTACGCTGCCTGAGTCTGATAGGACTGACTGCATGGCTCCTGCAGGATGGAAGTTAAGTTGGACTTGCACGTAACAGCAGGTTTGTTTTGAGATGCTTTTTAGATCCGAACTGCTGAAATCTGATTATGTTGGCTCTCATGGAAGTGTTTTTTTTAATGCAAGATCTTAATTCTAGCAGCAAATGTTGGAGACCAAGCCTTAACATTATGTGGCAACTCTGGAAACACATCCTACTCAACTTATCTTTGTTATTATATCATTTTTGGCTTATCTGAGTAGTTGGTTTGATATTGTAATCTTCTATTTGTTAACAACTCCCCTGAACAAATGAATAACTGTAATACAAGTATGTTTTTCTCAGATACTGCGATGAGAAAGTGACTGGTTTCATTGTTTCTCTGTAGCATTACTGTAAGTAAGCAGGGTGTGCCAGTAAAGTAGTGTCCAGTTACAGCTAATACTACTGTTGAGTAATAGTTGGGGTTGTAGTCATTCAGGCGTACAGGCTTAGTACATTTCCATATCTTTCCCCCCCTCCCACTGTCCCACAACCCCAGAGGGAGCTAGGTGTCTCCTTCCATACTGTATGTGTCTCAGCTTTTGTATTGGTACCATAACATTACTCATCATGTTTATTGGTTTCGGGTGTCAGCCGCGTTGACATGTGAAAAAAGTATCAAGTTATCTGTGAGCTTGCATTTGCTTTTGTCTTGATGTTTTGGTGCATCATAAAATGTAAGGCTGGTGTTATTATGTAGGTCATACCAACCGGCCCATACTGTGCCATGCATGCTCTGTGGGCTTTGGATTGCATAAATAGATCAAAACCTTTTTTGCACTCCCCTGCACCTATAAAAAGACATCTGTCTTTCGTTAGGGCACCGAAGCTCGGTTCAATTGTCTCACTCGGGCTAAACTTAGCTTTTTATTTCTTTCATTTTAGTGAAACATGGAAGGAGATGACAGATTTATATACCTGACCCAAATGCCTTGACCACACAATGTTCAGACCCAACTCCCCACCCTGTTTCCTTCATTCTTTCTTTCTTCTCTGTTTCTCTCTTTTGTGCCCCTCCAACCCCAACACACACAAACACCCTTCTCTTCGGCTTTTCTGAATGCAGCGCTGGACAATGGCCAGTTCACTTGAGGCAGGAAGACTTGAATGAAATGAAATATGACTGGTGAATGTGCAGAGTTCAAGTACACATCTGGGCATACACTTGTGCCAAATAAACCGAGTGCACTCTTGATGGTGTTTATGTAGAGAACAAACTGTGAATGGCACTCACATTGTTCTTGGATTTATTTGTGTGAATATCTGTTAAAAACATGCTTCCTCTTGTGTTATCACATCCAAGATATTTATACTACTTTTCCTACTCTATAATGATGATATATCTTTTAACCAGCATGAAGGGCATTGAAAAAAAGGGGCCACTTTACAATACGATTACCCTTATAAAGGGTTTACGAATAGTTTGTCATTCATTTATTAATTAGGTTGTGAACACTTTATAAATCATTAATAAGCTTTTATAAGACATGAAATAAACAGGGCACCTGTGACCGGTTGCTTGCCAAATAGTGAGCCCACATTCATCTGTACTGCTAAGTCTTATATTGGCTACTTAGCTTACTTCGTCTTCTTCATCAGCCAGCATCCTTGGTATCTGTTGCTCACTGAGTAGATTCTCGCTAAGTAGCCAATATAAGGCTTAGTCATCTTGCCAAATAGTGAGCCTGTGTTGATGTATGAAAACTATGTTAGAACTGGTTTATAAATGGTTCTTAATGATTAATAAAGTGTTTACAACCTAATTCATAACCTAATTATAAACCCTTTATCAATCCTTTATAAGGGTAGTCTTATTGTAAAGTGGTACCGAAAAAAGTCACATATAAGGAAAGTAACAGATGCTCCAGAGACAGATCATCCTAACCCCACATTGGCATCCATAAGCATAGAAAGTATTGCCCTTCAGTAAAATGAATATCTAATTTGTCTTTCTTTCTCTCCTTCTGTAGTGGCTGTGATCATCAGCAACCAGGTTTCATTTCCCCTACATGGGGAGCAGCCCATGGACCTCAGTGTGACCCAGAGGCTGTTACATCCAGTCTTAGATTCGGCCATGCTGGCCCCCCACCCTCCCTTTTTCCTGGGACCCCTCACCTCTCAGCACTGCTCCCAGTTTTCCCAGCAGCACTTGCAGGTAAGTCCTGAGCCAGTGTCGTTGGACAGTTACAGCGGAAAGCTTGAGCTGCGCAGACCATTCCCAGTAGCAGTGTGAATACATCGGCTAAACCTACAAATTAGGGTTATTTTCCTTCACCTTTCTTTAAACTTAATTTTCCAGTCTTTACACAGGCTGATGATTTCTCAGCAGAAATGATTAAGAAGCAGGTCAGGTTACTGTAAACAGACCATCTTCTCAGCATTAGATTCTGAGTGATGATGATTTTCACCTAGTGCTACATTTCTATATTTTAACATGAATTTATATCCAAATCTGAGGCACAGTGTGTTTGTGGCTGTAGCAATGTTTGTCTCTTTTTGTGCATATCTCACATGCAGAGTCTAAAAAGACTGTATTGGTCAGGGTTCACATCTCTTCATTTGTTCTTTTCAGTATAACATGGAGTTGGAGAAAAGAGAAGAGCTACAACAGCTGATACAAAAGAGTAAAAATGAACACAGTGAGTATGACATGTAATGTATTTTTTACAACTGTAATGGGCTTTCACAGGTTCTCTGTAAGACCAGTTGGCTGTTGGAGTGCTCTTCATCTGAGTCATAGCACACACTGTATGTTTCAGTGAAAAAGAAGGGGATTTCCAACAGCGCTGCGATGTATTCTCAGATTCCAAGGAAATCTGTACTCATATGAAACCAAAAGTCAAACAAACACATCTCTTTCAGGAAACACTTTGTGCTGTTTTTAGTTTCAACCATGTAGAGGAAATGAAGCGAGCTTGAAGGAAAGTGACAAATATCCTGGATCCTGCTTTAGAAGTCTACTGACTTGGTTTTGATACAAAATAATATTTATAGTGCCTTTGCTCCATGAAAAAACATTGTTCTACATTATCAGCTGCATTGTCTTTTTCCTGATGAAGTGACTTTGTTGTGAATAGGTGCTGTGGCCAGTCCTCTGGTAAAACAGAAACTTCGGGAACACATCATTATGAAGAACCATCCCACCCATGACAGGCTCACCCCCACCCGCAGCAGTCCTTCCCCAGGATACAGGTGAGAGAGACAAACGGACAAACACATCAATGATGCTTAACTTTAAACTTAGACTGTGCAACTGCAAACACATCACACATTTAGCAAAAACTAAGGCATGTTGTAACAGGGTGTCCGCGGGGTCTTAAAAATTATTGAAAGTTGATAAATCAATTTAGCGAAAATTAAGGCTATTAAAAAGTATTACAAAGTATTAAACGGCATTTTCCAAGGTATTACATTTTGTAGCTTGTTTTCAATAAGTATATAAATTGTCCACAGAGGTTGTATTCTACAGTCTGCCTGAAAGTAATCATTGCGTAGGTGTGTAGTGTGATTCTGTGTAGTTTATTTATGGCATCCCGTTGGATTTGACGTCATCTGAACAGGACATCGCACGCTCACTGCTTGATAGCGCGCGAAGGTCCGTTTACGCCGGTTGTTAAACAACCTCGTTATGGGGAAATGCAAGTTTGCGTCCAAATGGTTGGAAGATCAGGAGGAAGGACAATCAATACTGTATATAGTCAATGTGAGGTAAAGTGTGTCGCCAATGTAACCGGTTAAAACTCGAAGTGGCGACGAGGTCTTAAAATGTATGGAAAGGGTCTTAAAAAAGGTCTTAAAAGGTCTTACATTTGACTTCAGGATTCCTGCATATACCCTGTGTAAGAACGGCCTATTCTCTTGATGAAAGTAATACAATAACAATAAAACAGAAAATACAAAAAAGATTTATTAAACCACACTGATGAAATACTCCACCACAATAAAAGTCTGCATTAAAACCTTAGTTAGGTAAAATAGTGGTCATAAAAATGTAAAGTTAGAATGCTCAGTTGTGCAGTAAAATGTTCCCTGTTAGTGTTTTACTAAAGTATATGATGTTTTTGGATTTATATTACTGCTTTATGTTGCGTATGTTTTAGGTTGTGCTCATTTCAACTCCCTAATAAACTGCAGAGTAGTATAATATACAACAATGCATCAAATTCTATAAGTTCATCACATGCTTGATGCTTTGTTGCTGTCCTGTGAGAACCTTTCATCTCTCAGAAACGTTACATGAACTTCTCAAAAACAGCCCTTTGTTAAGCTTTGTAACGATGCATTTTCAGGTGTTCATGAGTGAAGTTGTTTTTGCAATATTGTTTTGGTTACCTAGGCTCCCGGTTTCTGACATGTCCCCAAAGTCTCAGCCTACACTGTGTGACCAGCGCAAAGACCTCGCCCTGCGCAGGACAGGTGAGACACCTCTGCCTATTTGTGTCTGTGATGAGGGTTCCCGCCCTGAGGTTAAAGCCCTGAAGGTCACTGGTGATTTTCCATTTCAAGTGTGAACTGTGTAATTTGAGTAAGATTCAAAGTCATCTGACTGCATAGCTCTGTGGAGAAACATTGCTCAGCGCGATGCTTCTCAGTGTTGTCAGCAAACTGGCATTATGTTACATATTCTGCACATAAGAAAAAGTGCCCTTTCCAGTGAGACGCAGGAAACTCATTAAGCACCAGGCCTGCAGGGCTAGAGAGAGAACGAACAGTCATCAAAATGACAACGAGACAAAAAGACCAACGCAGTTACATAACTCTAAAGAAGGTATTTGTAAAATGAACCGCGTGAGAGTCCAGAACCGGTCTCCCTCACCCTGTGAATGAGAGGGGGAGTGGTTTCGTCTTACTGTACATCGCTGCGAGTACACACACATTTGTTGTTTACGTTGGCCTTAGAACTCTTAGGTGCCCTGAGGGGCCTGCTCTAAAAGCAGATAATTCAAAGAAGAAGAAGAGTGTCAGCTAATGCTGGATAGGGCCCGGAGTTTTGTGCTACGCCCCTGCCCACACACACACACACACACACACACACACACACACACACACACACACACACACACACACACACACACACACACACACACACACACACACACACCACACACACACACACACACACACCACACACACTCACACCTTCCAGTGCTTTTTTTGGCACGGTGACAACACAAAGCTGCCTTTTATCTGCTCTGAGATGGCCACTGATTGATTGTTTTGTTTGAGCTTACTGGAGCCTGACCAATGTAAACATGAGCCTTTTTTTTAACTATTGACCAGGGCTGAGGTATTTGCTTGGTTCAGCTGTGCTACAGATTCCTTTGACTTATTAGTTTTGTTATGGATATTGAGTGGGTCCTTATAGTATGTGAATTACTTAGTGAAAGCATGTTGAGAATGAACAGTTTGGCATCAGTCAGTTTGTCATTAATTTCTGTGAGCTTCCTTTTCATGTAATGACTTTAGAGATAAGAATATCCGTCAGTGTGTGCTTCCTCACATATTGATTTGTGTATATGTGTGTGTGTGTGCAGTCTCTGAGCCCAGTTTGAAATGGAAGTTGAAGAAGCTCCTCAGTTCAAGGCCAAACCCGCTGCAGCGCAAGATCAGTGCCCCCCCCGCCGTCAAGCACAGGACGGAAAATCTGGGTACAGTACCTTCATCTTTATCTGGAACACTCATGATTCAAGTGTATGCTGATTTGATATGCCATTTCTATTTCTGTTATTTTGTCACATGTGATTTCAATACGAACTGTTTCTGACACAGTTTGATTCAACTGTATGAACACATCTGTTCTCACTATTAGCTATCATGAGTTGATGGGCGTGTTTGATTTCTGTCACGCAGACTCCTCCACCAGCAGTAGCAGCAACCCAGCATCAGGGTGCAGCTCACCCAACGACAGCCTCCATTCAGATAACGGGCACCTCCCGCTGGCTCATGAGGTGAGCCTTGTTTGATATTTATTAATAGCAGACTTTCTTAACCGTATTTACATATAAGGAGTGATTAGGGATCAGCGTTCTGCTCAAGAATACTTGAACACAATTAGCGAAGGTAATTGAGAACCGGTCCGGTTGAGGAGAGGCTCCAAATTGTTTAATTGGTTTCCTTTCTCAAAGAAAGACGACAACAGAATGATAGGAAATTAAAGATGACAGACCTATGCGTAGCCCATTTTTTTCGAAAGAGAAAATTGGTAATGAATAAATAGTGGGATAACTACAAAATGCAAAATCAGGATCGATGGGCGTCAACTTAGTATTATTTAAAACAAAATCAAATTCCACTGTATTATACAAGAGACATGTAGATCTCAACCAGATCAATTCAGTAACTCTAAAAAACAATGGGATTTCACCCCTGCTCTTTAAAGGACAACGACCAGCAGTTGAATATGAATTGGGGTGTTTAATTCAGGGCAGTAATGGTGTCCAATGCTTTAAACAGGGAGATATGAGAAGGCCAGATGGCCTACAGTAGCGTGGGTGTTAAGTCTTGTTTGGATTTATTTTTTAATACAGTCAGAATTGTGGAAGTTAATATATGACATCAAAAAGAGAGGACAAATTAAACGTTGTTATGCAAATATGTGTTTTTATGTTTTTTGATCCTGTATAATGAATATTTATCTTATTCAGGCGCAGAGGTTGCTGGCCCATTTCACTCTGCCCTCCAACTCCACTGTCATGCCCAACATCACTGCTGGACTTCCTGCGCAGGTGAGCAACGATACCTTCAAGAATCAATATATAAACGGCTTCCATTTCACAACAACAAATATGTACATATCACAGCAACACACATTCATGCCATATATGTGTAAGACTGAATGTCTAAAAAAGTGCCTGCTCACTAGAACACTTTTAGAAACATGTGGTGTATTCAGGCTTTCACTTCCCTCTCTATCTCTGTGGTGCTTTCATATCTAGTGAATCAGTCATGTGGTACTTTACTCACTTGATGAAAATGTTAACGTGACCATTAAGACTTATGCACATTTTCTAAGCTGCAACCATGAAAAGGGCTTTCCTTTCTCCTTGTGATCTGTCCTGTGTTTCTTACCATCATGTCTCCTCTCCTCCCCTCTCTTCAAGGCTGATAAGCGAGCCAACCGGCCGTATGCACTATCGGCTCTGCATCAGGTCTACCTGCCTCTGGAAGGAAGCAATCCAGGCCTGGGTCAGCACCTGCAGCCTGTGCTCATACTGGAACCGCACACGGGCCTGGTGCACACACAACTTGTCTCGTGTGAGTTGTGAAGCTGTAAATGTGATGCAAAGCAAAAAGGGTTCAAGTCAAATAGCAAAAGGTCCTACGACGGAATATCAGACATTTCTGCAGTAAAAAAAACAACATCAATTTCAAAACTCGTAAACACGATGTATTTCTGATTTAGCTATCATTTCCCTGCGCATGTAAACAGAGCAAAATGTAAATGCTTTATCAGGGGTGTCAAACTCAAGGCCCGTGGGCCAAATCCGGCCCGCAACCTCATTTTATGTGGCCCGCAAGAGCTTGCAAAGAATATAATCCGTTTATTATATGGTTAGATGCCGCTTTATAGAAGCACGTTGCCCATAAACTACATGTCCCACAATGCATCTCATTTTGTGACATGCGCACTGAAGAGACTTGCAATTATTTGCCCTGGACTTCTGCTTTCAGACGTAGTTAATTATAAAGTTATTACCCTATCCGATTGTAATCCAATGCAGAGGCAATAATGTAATATAATACATTTTATTATATATATTTATATATGTATATTTTTTCATAGTATTAAAGTTACAACCGGCCCTTTGAGTGCAACCATAATGCTAATGTGGCCCGCGATGAAATTGAGTTTGACACCCTTGCTTTACATAGTCTTAATTATTCTACAAATCCACAAGCATACACACCGTACTTGACCTTATTAATGCAAGCACGATCATCCAGTACAACTACAAACAAGTTCATGCAAAGCATCTTGAATAACCATAATAATGATCTGGCAGTCCAAAGCGATATACAAATAAGTTCAATCCAAGCCACAGTCGATCAAAGAGATCTATATCAAATCCCTGGACCTTGCTGTTGATGGTTTACATGTCCAGTGCATCCTTTGGGTGACATTATACACAATGCTTTACATGCAAGTATTTTACGGATGAACACAGAATTCTGGCCAGAGTAGCACAGACAATATTGAAGCACCCTTCAAAGAAGACAGAGGGGGCTTTCAAAGCGGGGTGAATTGTGAATAATTTATTACAAAAGAAATATAAGGAATATTTGATCAATGTAAAGGATATACAAGGCATTTCAAAGAAAGGATGGTTTACTAAGACATTAACCAACTTCCAATACTCAACTCAGATCTGTTTCCTGCCGTCAAACGTAGTACAGGTACACAGGAACTGGTGTGGTACAACTTCACCATAAAAGATCAAGGGACTCTGTTAGGACGTGTACGTTTTTCTATACTGTCTGTAGTCAGGAAGTAATGTTATTCATGCAGGAAGGTTTTCACCTTGTTTGTTCATTTTAGTATTGGACAATTTTTAGCCCTCCTTCTTCAGATTTCATCTTGTGCCCAACGGCTGTAGGTAATAACCATAAAAAAATACTAATAATTTTCCTTTTTGACAGCAAACATTTGTAACACATGTGTAACTCATACAGTCATAACTAGCTCCTGCATGCCTTTAAGGTCTGCATGTGCAGGGTCGTGGTGTTACCCCTGAGCCCCTCCTGCTGAATAAGTCAAATTATGTGCTGTGAAAAATGTGGATGCACATTAAATTACAAAGTTTAGCAATATTGATCTAAAGGGTCTAGATTTATTTTGCCTTAATACTTTTAAAATAAATAGAACAAGGGCGCCCTCTACTTGGCGCTTGACAGAAATGCAGTTTCACAAAGAAACTGAAAAAATGTATTCAAACCTCCAACCCTCCTCTTGTTCCATCAGCCAGCCTCTTTGTTTTCCATCTGATAACCTGCTGCTCTCTCTTCTCCTCCCTGCAGTTCATGGTCTGAGCTCCATTGCTCTGCAGCTGCAGCAGCAGCCTCACCTGTCCTCCCCCACCAGGAGGGAGGGTGCAGTTCCCTTCCACAAACCCCTGAAGCGAACACACTCAGAGCCCTCGCCCTACAGCCACTCACCCCTCACGCTGCATGCCAGCCGTCACTCACACATCCAGCACTCGCTGACTCAGCAATACCACAAGAGCGGGCTCAAACAGAACGCACACCTGAGCAAGGTGAGGGGAGGCAGGCATGTTGCATACAAATAAACAATGACTTTTTTTTATTTGACTAAACACAGAAATCATTTGTTATTATCAGTTGTTCATACAAATGCATGTTAACGAGAACAATGGAAACATTAATACTTGTTAACACTATAAAACCTTTACCCTACATCAGCTGACGACCATTGAGAAGCCTCGCCTAACACAGATCCTATCAGAGGACATGGACCTGGAGGAGATCGGATCAGGATCTGGTTCGGGCCCCGGGTCCGTCTGTGATTCAGAACCTGGCTCCATGTGTGAGGACAGCTTCCGCAGGAGACAGAGCACTGCCAGCCCAGACTCAGTTTACGACACTGAATCCACCACCTCCTCACGGGACAGCTTGATCGAGCCCTCACACTCTCTCAGCCAGGTATGGATATAAACTCACATAATTCCAGGGGGGTTGGGGGGGGGTTACTTTAATGTTAAAAGAAAAGATAAGCACGCATTATATATTGCTTTGACTTATTTTCTAGAAACAAGTTTAAAATCTGCATCCGAAGTGCTTATATACAATCATTCACACATGTTTTGAACAACAGAGGGCGCTGTAGCTTTATTTATTCAATGTGAAAAGAAGGAGAGTTACAGTATTGTGTAAGAAAGCTTGCTTACGCTGTATTTTCTTTAACAGCTGCTTGTTCTAGAGAGGAAGTATTAGATTGACCAAATAATCAGTACTTGCGAGAGAGGCATTCAATGTTAAAGATTTCTCCAGTTACTTCAGACCATGCGCTACTGCTGTTCAACTCTCCTTCATTCCCTTCACCCACAGAGGCAGGTGATCCTTAGATCAGGTCTCCAGCAGGACTCCCAGAGTGGGCCTGCATTCATTTGGCCTCACCAGCCGCTGGGTCGGACCCAGTCCTCCCCGGCCTACACCTCTCTGCCTCCACACCCACACACAGCCATACCTTCCCTGTCCCTGTCCAGCCCTGCAGCAGAAGCCCAGCTCCGCTTCACCACAGGTGAGGAGCGCTTTCTTCAAGACAAATGTTACGTTCAAATCATGTATGATGTAAAACATGAAATACTGAGGAAACTAATGTTTAAATGTTTATTTGTGTGTGTTTCCGTTGTGTCTGTGTGTGTCCAGGTCTGGTTTATGATTCTCAGATGCAGAAGCACCAGTGTACCTGCGGGGACAACAGCCGCCACCCTGAGCATGCTGGGAGGGTCCAGAGCATCTGGTCCAGACTAAATGAAACAGGTTTCAGGAGCCAGTGTGAGGTATGACACACACAAACACACACACACACACTACACACACTGGCAGATCCATACCCCAAGAGTCAGTATTATAAGCAGTTTGTATTTGTTTCTGTGTGTATGTAGCGCATCCCCAGTAGGAAGGCCACTCTAGAGGAGCTGCAGTCAGTCCATTCAGAGAAACATGTTCTGCTGTTCGGCACCAACCCCCTCAACCGCCTCAAGCTGGACAACCGTAAACTGGCTGGTAAAATCAATATTAAAAAAAATGAAATAATGATGCTCTTATAATAGTAATATAAACATCCATGACAGTTGAATGACACACATATTCTTCTGCAGGAATCTTATCTGAACGGATTTTTGTGATGCTACCATGTGGAGGAGTCGGGGTGAGTGCCACACACACACACACACACACACACACACACACACACACACACACACACACACACACACACACACACACACACACTCACACACATTGTTACCCATTTTAAAAGTACAAGTCCTGTGGGAATCTTTCCACTTATCAAATTGCGTACAGCAAACATTACATGGCTGATTATGTCTCATTACACAATTAAACTAATAATAGTACAAATTGCTAATGCTATTGTTTTTGGCTAAGATAACTTTGAAACCAAATATGAAATCAAAGACGGTACAAAGGTGAGATAGGAAAAAGGAAGAAAAGAGGGTGTACATAGAGACTGTAGCTTGGAGGGGTGCGTGACAGTGAAGCTCGACTTTATTTAGAGGGAATGGGTGGGGGCAAACAGGGGAGGAGAATACAGAAGAAGGAGATAAATTGTTTAAAGTTGGAGAACAGAATGTATTAAATGTAAACGACCATGAAAGAAGGTATAATGAAGGAGATATAAAAAGACCTAAAATGCCTGATGATCGGGTCACAGATAAAACTGCCCTGAAAAATCTGTTGTGAAGCACAATGAGAAAAGGCAGATAAGAGAGGAGGAGAGTAAGGAGAAGAAGGAGGGGGCTGGGTGTTAGTTGATAAGACGACTGATCTGCCTGGATTTCCGGACCTTGGCTGCTCTGGTGAAGAGGGGTGATTGGAACAAGATGGCAAAGTCTGTGATAAAAGAAATTCCTCTGATTTCATTGTTCCACCACAGCACACCACCATAGTGAGTTTTGAAACATGGAGTAACACAACACGGGGCTTATAGAATAACAAAGAGAACGATTATGTGGGAAAAAATAAGACTCTGTACAATTGTTAGCATCCACAGAAGGACTAGAAGAAGGTCTGCTCCCATATATTTACATTGTTTCAAATACAATACAAGAATAAACTGCACTAAAATAATGATTATTTATTATTTCAAAAATAAAGAAAGTGCGTTTAAACATACATTTCATTTTATGTATGTTTCAATTTTTAATGGATCATCATAAACAAAACTATGAGCTGACTCATTGACCGACAGCAGCTGGACTTAATGAAATGTGGTTAAACCTGCTGAATGGCATTTCTAAGTGTCACTGTGATGTACAAATCTGCAAACTGGTCTGACTGCATCTCAGGAATTCTTTATGGATCAGTCAAGACAGTGCAGTTTTGATGAATATAAAAATATCGTCATCTGAGGCTGACTTTGGACTGACTCTACGTATCTCATCCCTTTTCTTCTCACAGGTTGACATCGATACAGTCTGGAACGAGCTTCACACGTGGGTAGCTTCCCGTGTCGCTGCAGGATGTGTCACCGACCTGGCACTGAAGGTGGCACAAGGAGAGCTAAAGGTGTGTCTCTTATCAGTAAATGCCATGTTTATGTTATTATCAGGTTGCAACAGGTTGTGCGGTGAACTACCATTAAGTAAAGACTACATTGCTTAAGCAACCCTCCTTCTGTAGCATCTATTTGGCCAGATGCCTGAAGATGTGAACTGTGCGACCCCTGAAAGCAGAAAGGTGTTACAGTTTTGGCTTTTTCCTCCCACAGAATGGTTTTGCAGTTGTGAGGCCTCCTGGACACCATGCAAACCACTCCTCCCCTCTGTAAGTACAGCAACACACACTCACACACACACACACACACACACACACACACGCACACGCACACACACACACACACACACACACACACACACACACACACACACACACACACACACACACACACACACACACACACACACACACACACACACACACCAACGCATACATACCAGGAGCCAGGAGGTCTCTACAAAGTGTTTCAAAGGATTTATTAGAGATCAGATATACTTCTGAGCGAGTGAGAGAGTCTAGGTCTCTCAGTCTTAATGTGGGTGGGTGTGTGTGTGTGTGTGTGTGTGTGTGTGTGTGTGTGTGTGTGTGTGTGTGTGTGTGTGTGTGTGTGTGTGCATGTGCGTGTGCGTGTGCGTGTGCGTGTGCGTGTGTGTGTGCTACCTGACTGATGCCCGAGGCGATCCACCTCCTCCACTCGGGTTCTTTTAAGCTTTCAAGACACAGAGCAAAGCAGAGCAAAGCAGAGCAAAGAGGCCGTGCATGTGTGTGCGTGCACTGTACGTGTGTGTTTTTGTGTGCATAGATTTGTGTCAGTCTTTGATAGGAGGCATTAGCCAAGTAACCACATTCAGCTGGGACCGTGTGTGTGCTCAGCAGTGCTTGTCACTGGTTATTTATGGGATGATAATGACTTTTCTTGATGAGCAGATTTGGAGAGCATATATGATATACCGTCCACGCACACACACACACAAACAAAGGCAAAGTTTACGACCCATGCTGACACTGCCACTTCCAACATTCCTCCATTGTTTTTCATACATCAACACTTTTTTTTGCATACCTATACTGTAGACAGCGAGTGTTGAGGGAACTGCTGCGCCAAGTTGTGAGTGCATTTCTCTGAAACGTCCTGCCAGCAATTTACACCATGCTATCATCTGGAATAAGAAGGGAATTTTATGATTAGCTCAGTTTTCTATCTGTCACAAAATATGTGAATTCTGCATTTCTCGGAGGTACAATTATAGATTCGGCATAATGTTATTCACATGAGAAATACAGTTTGTTTGTCAGCAGTGGGAAATAAAGTAGAAATCACCTTGAAATGAAACATCCATTTCACCCATATTTGCAGCAACTGTCAGTCAGAAGTAGAAATAGTACCTAAATCCTTTACATATGTAAAAGTAGAAATACTACGGTGTTAAAATCCTCCCTTACAGGTACAAGTTTTAAACTAATTAAAGAAGTACAGAACTATTATCAGCTATATTTACTCTTATTATATTATACTATCCTGATTTTATCTCAAATAAATAAATATTTGATATTAATATAATGTAAGGTATTATCGGGTAGTATTGTTGATGTAAAACCAATTTTGGTTCAAAGAAGCATAACATTGACATACTCATGTAAAGTACAGGTATGTCAAAACAGTACTTAAGTATGGTACTTGATTAAATATATATTCGATTCACTGCTGGACTGAATAGCCACCATGTGACGCCACGTGACTGTAGACTTAGAGGTTCCTAAGGTCCATGTGGTGTTTGTATGATATTAATTTGCTGAAGATGTCCTGATAAAAACATGTGGCCTCCTCTCTTCCCTGGTCTGTTTGTCCACAGGGGCTTTTGTTTCTTCAACTCCGTGGCCATCGCTGCCAAGCAGCTTCAACACAAACTCAACGTCAGCAAGATCCTCATCGTGGACTGGGTAAGGACTCACCGCATGAACGGCATCACTGGTCCCCACATGGATAGGAATAAACAGACGAAGAACACACATGCACACAAATGTATCACGGGCAAACAAACACGGTCCCAGAAGCAGAGCAGCCCCCTATACAGTAGCATTTCTATTAATCATTTATTTTAATAAGTCAACGTTTTCTCTGCTCTCCATGTGAGATCTGAACTGTCACGTATGCTTAGAGTAGACACACACACACACATATATGAACACACACAGTCATATAAAAACACACACAAACACACACATGCAGATATTGATCCGCAGCCAGGTGGTCCTCTCTGCTCACCATGTGTGTGTATATGAGCCTGTCCCATGTCATTACACACACTGTGCTCTGTGACAGATTAATGCATCAATATTAATTACTACCTGCTTCATCAAAAATGCTTCTAAGAATGAAACACATTTCCCTTTGACAAGATAAAGCTTTCCAGGTTTTTACAGACCCTGCTCTGGATTATGGGTCATGTGTTTTGATGTATACTTCATTATTAGAGAGTGGACTATCCTCTTCTCTCCTTTGTGAGTTGTGATCATTTCGTTTTTTGAACAAATATGTGAATCCATAATGGCTTTCCCAAATAGGTCCAAGCTTTGAAACTTCATCCATAACCTTGAAACTGAAATTCTAACTCCAGAGCTTTGTAAAGTCAATATATGTAATCATGTGTGGTTATTTCCAAGATTCACAAAATTTTCTTCCTTATGATATTCTGCTTCATTCCATATTTGATGACATTACGCCTTTCGAAAAAAGAACATTTTCAATGTTTACACATCCTAAAATATGAAGACAGACGCTCAAATCTTCATTAAAAAAATATCAATTGAAGTTTTAAATGTCCACTGCAACTTCCTAACCTGTCATCCAATCATTGCCCAGGACGTTCACCATGGCAACGGCACCCAGGAGGCTTTCTATAATGACCCGAGCGTGCTGTACATCTCCCTCCATCGCTATGACAACGGCAACTTCTTTCCTGGTAGTGGACATCCCAGTGAGGTAAGTCGTCCTTCACAGCGGTGTTGTGTTGTTGTGCTTTGTTTGTGCTGTCATGGTAACTGCCTGGTGTTTGTGAGTGTTTGTGTGTACCTTGTGAAAACAAAAGAGTAACACATGAGAAACACAACGCAGGTTCTCCTCGTCCAGAGGATTCCTTCACTCTGACTCGTGAGAATATATTTCACTTCATGATAATACCACCCATGTGAAGATATGTGGGCACGGATATGTTGGCTAATTATTTGATTCCAGTGGAACATTAGGAAGCTCAAGAGCTTTGTGTATTAGAATATACTGTATGTCCAAACAGGAAGAATGATTGTCATAATAAATCCAGGAATAATCTGCATGATGTTAAGCCTCAATTATAATTAATTTGGTCATATTGATGGATAATTTGCATTGCAGAGGGGAAATGGGACAGGTTAGCATGTATGTTATCCTGCTGTGGATTAAGGTGTTAAGCCAAGGTTTTTGTGATAAGATCAAACTAACTTAACTTACCACTGGAATCTTAGCAATGCGATCTTTCTATTAAATCTTAAAACAAAGTGCTTTCTTCAAGTTTAATTGGAAAATGTCTTTAAGCGTTTCTTTTTAGTGTTTTTCCATCTTAAAATAAATAGCTCAAATAAACTTGTTGCATTCGCTGCCTGTGATTCCTGCAACTTTTTGACTTCAACGTGCATTTTCCAAAAGCTACAAATAAGTTTATCCAGTGAATTTGCGTCGTAAGCCCCGTCACACTTTGATTTTCAGTGTGTGCAGCAGGTTTATTTCCCCTGTTGGAGTTTATTGCAGAAACTTCAGAGCTTTGGATGTAAGAAGTTCACAACAGGATGTGTACAGTCGGATTGCATGCCAATGTTTGCATACAGGAAATTGAGATGCCTATGAATTCTGCCTGCGGTCTTACCAGAAACCAAGTGTGATGACTATCCCCAGTCAGATGAATTGACCCCAACCCACGGTGGCATTCACAACCCATTCAATCCCCCACATCCCCTCCTCTCGTTCTCCCATCCTCCCCCACAATAATGAGGATAAAATAGTCAATGTTTTCCCATAAAATCCCCCGATGAGGGACGGTACATAAAACGCTCTGCTGACTTGGATGTGGCTTCGCCTTAAGTGGCCCCTCAGCCTCTGCTGAGCTGTGTGGTAAACCTCTGGAGTCTAGCTGTCCCCCGTGTAGGTATATAACACACCATGGGGTAGGGGTGTGATGTCATAGCCATAACAGAGAGCGCACAGTACCACACAGAAACCAGCGACGGCCTAATCCAGTCCAGCAACTCTTGAAACATGAAAGAGAGAAAGAGGATAGAGAAGAGTGCAAGAGACTTGGAGCAAAGGCAGGAATTGTGTGTGAGTGTGTGTGTGTGTCGGCGTGCACGGGCGCGTCCATGCGGGTACATTACCAGTTGGCAAAGGACAGGAGGCCTCATGTGTTTTTAGTTTGCCCTGTGAACATCCCGTCCACTGAGAGAAGAATGGAGACAGACGCTCTGCGATGCTCATCAGAATTCTTTCAAACATCCTCTCACACCCATACACACATATTTATGCACACACACAAAGGAAATTACCACGCCTTGTTGCCAAGACTGTGTCAATCAAGCTCCTCATTCTGCTCTCAAACTGACACATTGACTGATGGTGAAGGGCTTTGAGAACGGCTAAATGGCTGCTAGCGGGACTACAAAGGGAAAAGCAGGAATCTTTTAAACCTTCATTCCAAGACCCGGGCCTCAGTTCACTCTCTGCCCCAAATATGTGAGGTCAAACTTAAGAAACCCTCATCCACTCTGCCTGGCATTTTGGGAGTATATGTCAATCTCAATACAGCAAATAAAATCCACTAAAATCATTTACAGTACCTCATCAAATCTAAATGAGTAATGTGGAGTAGTATTAAGGTTTTATTTGTCATGACATACACACCGAACCAACTAAATGTCTACATACAGAACACATGGTATACAGTCGAGTTATATACAAATAATATATAAATAAAACGTTTTACAAGATCAGGCAGCAATTTCCAAAAGTGAAATATTTCTCAGTATGGCTATAACCTAAAGCTGAATCATAAATGGTTGTAGCTCTGTTGTGGCTCGGACTGATTTACTGATACGCCTATTTGACAAATTGTATCAAAATCAAAATGGAGGGACAGGGGTGTTGAATTAATAGCCATCCGTCTTTCATTTAGGAATCGTAATCACTCCCTGGTGTTGCCTTAAAGAGATTCAGCCTCTTTTCCTCGATTGGTGCAATGCAAGGTTTTGAAACACGCCGTGCTTATTTTGTGAACATTTGACACAAATATATCATCCTCACGCAGTTTCTCAACTTCCACTGGGACTCGTTAACTTTTCTAGACATTCACAGAGACTTTTTTCTCTCTTGGTCCCGCTCCCCCCTTTCTCTCTCCCTTCATCTCTCCCTTCATCTCTCCCTTCATCCAGGTGGGTGCAGGTGCAGGCGAGGGCTTCAATGTGAACGTAGGATGGACGGGGGGTCTGAACCCTCCCATGGGTGATGCGGAGTACCTGGCTGCATTCAGGTAAATAAACATGTCTTTATCAGCCCATTCATATTTCTTTCTTAAATGTGCTTGGCCTGTTCTTGTGTCTGCAGGTTCAAGCCCATTTTTGCTACAAATGACATATACTTACACATCACTGTCTCTCAAACATTTACCAAAAGCATAATATATATATATATAATTAAATATACCGATACATTTATTTATTTTTCGTTGACTCAAAGTAGAGATAAATTATTTTTAGACTCTAGTTTTATTTTTAACAATCCAGTTCCCTTACATACACAATGAGCACAGTCAGGACTCTGAGTAACTTACTTATCTTAATTAAGTTAAAGTTAACCATAACAACAACAGAACTTAGGAGAAATAAACAAGGTTATATTTTGGCGAGACTAGAATGACTCAAATGTTCATACAATCTGATGATCGATGCCCAAATATTCACTGACTAAAAAAAACGTTTAAAGTCTTTTTAGTTGACTATCATAAGACAAAATACTTTTAGTCAAGTAAAAGTGTCTGAAAAGATAATAAGGATACTTTTCAACTAATATGATGAACAATGACATTCAACACAAGATTAAATAAAATAATAAGTGGTAAAATGTACATCTCCTGACGTATGCTGCACTGTACCAATATGTGGTGAGCTAGTTAAGCCAATGAAAGCACCAGATCCACACAATGACAGAAGAGCAGAACCAGCCAGGTCAGGAAAAGGCAGAGAGCATATTATATTCATGAGGAACAGGAATTAGAAGAGTGTGTGCCAGGACGAGTACAATGAGCCATTATTTTTCTCCTCCTGGTTGAAGTTCAGTGGGATGCAACACCTGTGTGTGAGACAGACTTTTGAGTGTATTATCATACAATTACAATGCAATGTTGGATGTCCTTCTCCATGACGGATTACCTGTAGGATCTGGAACAGATTTCATAACTTAATTTTCTTAGTAAAACTGCTGTCAGTGTTCAAAACATAGATACGTTCTTAAGCCACAGCTTTCCGTTTATTGTTGTGCTAAAAACAAAACCACACACAAGACTAACCTTTGCTCTCACCACAGTTTTTATTTAATTTTTCCTGAATGAATATACTTTGGTTCCGCTCTACACGGTAACAAACTCTGTCAGCAACACCGGCTCGCCACCAGATGATTAAACATTATGTGAGCTCTGTACAGTTCTGCATGCAGCCGACTCAGTGGGTGGGCCCCTCGTCAAAGGAAAGATGCTAATGAGCTAACCCATACTGGTAAAGAAAACCCGAAGAGCCAATAGAGAGGCTCGGAAACACTAAGTCCAGTGTTTACTGGAGCTTCGGATGCTAATTAAGAAACAACTGGTCTTTTTCCTGAGCAGGCGTCTGGTTTTGGTATTTTCTATCCAGTTTGGGAAAAGGCAAGTGTTTTCATGTGTAAAACTTCCTCAGTCGACCGCACTGCAGAACTGTACCGTATTGTGTGTTAGCCCGAGAAACTTTGCCCTGTATCAAAGCTCTGAGGAGGAGGAGTGTCCCGGTGGTCCAGTGGTTTGAGGCACATAGCAAGTAGCTGTGATGTCCGGGGCCCATATCCGCCCCGAAGACCCTTGTTACGTGTCATTTACTTCCAGTATCAACTATCTAATTAAAGCAACAAATTCCACAATGATATTAAAAAGGTCATTTTGCAAAAGTGCAGCAAAAAAACGTTTTTGAAAAGCAAAATACATCGCAGGAGGGATTTTTCCATCATTCTGTGGATTCACTGGTGCAAATAAATGCATAAGACGCTTTACAGGCAACATTTTATGCATCAAGAATCCATGTTTATGCAATTAAGCATCGAGCCTGGTGCCAGCACTTTAATTCAATTTGAAAACATGATTTACACGGTGGGATGTTCCAGACTATGTGTTTTCTGTTCATGATGGAACAGAAAACTGGCAGTCGTCGATGATGCGTGTCTCTGTTTTTGGGTGTGTGTGTTAGTGACAGGGGAAATAATGTGGTCGAGAAGTGGCGGTGGGACTCTCGTTCAATAAAGAGAAAGTTCAGCTGCGTTGAGATTAAGTGTCATGACATAGCATGTGTGTATGTGTGGACCATTTAGATGATGGTCAGATTTTAAAGGTCAGTCTAATCACCAGTAGCACAGCACACACTAAAGGACGTTTTTAGTCATTTATACATTTTGCCTGGTGCATTAGATATATATGTACATGCATGCACATATTTTCATATGGTTTTTTAAGGTGGCTACTGACGAATGACAAACTACGAGGAGAGCAGAAGAGAGGAGAAGAAGTGGGGGGTGCATTGTTAGGGAATCCAAAGGCGGCGTAATTAGGCCCAATGGATCCCAGATGGCTGGCTGTCAGTGACGTGAGAAGAGGGACGAGCTCCTAATAGGAACCAGACGCACACAAACGCCTTTGAACTGCCGCTGAGAGAGGGAGAAGGAGAGAGAGAGAATCAAACGCGGCATGGGCCGTGCGCTCTTGCTAAATAACTGGCAGCGGGAGACGAGAGGAAGTGAGGAGGAGAGCGTAGAGGAGAGGAAAGTGGTCTCCCCTGAGCAGAGCAGTCAGTATGAGGGCGTCTCAGTCCAGATATGTCAAGGGTCCCATTCTTATCTGTTCGTGTCACTCTCAAATACAGACATTTTTCTCCACTTGCCCTAAATTTGCTTTGCTTTGACCGTTTTTTTACTATATATACCCAGGAATGGTTTGCAGGGCGTTCATGCTTCTTTTTTTTGAGCAGTGCTCTGCTTCACATTTAAACAGTTGCACACATTCACACCTGGGAGCTACCCCACCTTCTACAGTTGGCCGCTACCCAGGAGTGGATCGAGAACAGAGATCAAGCGCTTGGCACAAGGCCTTTGATAATTTATCTTTCATCATTTTTAAATGGATGGAGTTTGCAATGAAGTAAATGTTTGCAGTTAACAATCCAGAAAAAAAGGGATTTCACTGTAAAAGCGTTCCAGTTGCAAATCAATCAACCCTGTGATGTTTTTTAAAACAGAAACCAAGTTTGTTCTTTTCAATAACTTCTTTTTCAGTCTGGTCTGATCTTAAATTAATCCCTCAATGACTTCCTCTCTCACATTACAATATAGTATGCACTGTTCCAAGTTTGCATTTCTTGCACAAACTATGAACACCTGTTGAAAACATGATTTCTTGAATGTACTATCTTGTTTCAGCCAGGCCACAGGGCTTGAATGAACGTAATGTAGGATAGAGCGTTTGTTTGACAGCGTGTTGTTTCCTCTGTTCCCCCTCAGAGCTGTGGTGATGCCCATCGCCCACGAGTTCTCCCCTGATGTGGTGCTGGTGTCCGCTGGCTTTGATGCCGTCGAAGGACATTTGTCGTCACTGGGAGGCTACAAAGTCACAGCAAAGTGTAAGCCTCAATCAACCCCAACAACACACTCTCACACAGACAACGGCAGACACTCTGATAATGATTTCTCTGGAGAAAGTCTTAGAATGACCTCTGCCTCATATGAACTGTTGTTTTCTATTACCAGCCGAGACAGCGATGTGGATATTGTTTTCACATTGTGGGTCTCTGTGTGTGTCCATGGACACCTACTGTAGCGGGAACTACCACAGGGGAGGTTTTCCGAACTCTGCCATATGTTTATATCTCTGCGGACAGATTTTGTCACCGCAGAAGCGTCACAACCGTTCAAGATGCAGTCACAAAACTTAGCAGATGTTTAGTTAAGACCTAAATTATAGTCATGATTGAATATGGGCTTGGTTTCGAACAAGGGGGCAACTGTAGAGATGTGATCGAAAAAGGTCTTAAGTTCACTTCTGTTTAGAGCTAGAAGTTGTCCTGCATTTCCTTATAATATCCATATTTTTAATGCAGGGACATAAAGCAGGATTGCGTTAATAGACAGTTTAAATTCACTTTTAGGACAAATTGTAAAATGATAAAGCCTAATCGCACCTCACAATTGAAAACTGTTTTCAGGTAGATAGAACATTTTGGCCTCTGGTGATGTTTTAATTGAAACAAAACTTCTTCAGTGCAACTTCATACAGAAATTAGACTTAATTTGTGCACTGATTTGAGAAAATGTTTGTTGTCAGGAACTTCTTCTTTTATTTTTAGATAAACTGTAGAATCTGAAAAGATCTGTTTATAATGAATATTGACCTGAATGGAAGTGAATGGTATCTATAAGTCAGGAAGAGCTCAGAACTCATGATGGCGACCTCAATCACCTCAATGTTGAGAACTTTTCACAAACAATGAAGGAACCACTCAAAGTGTGTGTATGTGTGTGTTGTTGTCCAGGTTTTGGCTTCCTCACACGTCAGCTGATGTCTCTGGCCGGGGGTCGGGTGGTCCTGGCTCTGGAGGGGGGGCATGACCTCAAAGCCATCTGTGACGCCTCTGAAGCCTGCGTCAGCGCCTTGCTGGGCATGGAGGTGAGACGTGTGTGTGTTAACCTACAGTATGTGTGTGTGTCTGTAGAGATACACAGTATGTTCCATCCTATAACCCTGACCCTGCCCTCTCCCAGGTGGAGCCTCTGTCCCAGTCCGTGTTGGACCAGAAGCCCTGTGAGAACGCCGTCCAGTCGCTGCAGAGAGTCATCCAGGTTCAGGGTGAGAACTCGACAAAAAACAACAACTACAGCAGGACGTATTCAGAGGAATTGCAGTACCGTGAAAAACACCTAGACATTTGAGTGTTTTCTGTAGTGATGAGTTTCAGGTGCATTAACAAAGTAATAAGCCACATGTTAACACACACACATTTTCCATCTTATATTCATATTCAAAAAAGTCTTGCAGCTTTCTTTCCAGCCGCTCACCTGCAGAGCTCAGCACCGACCCGCTACCTGCAAATTATCACTAAATCAATGCCAGACCTGACCCGGCCTGACACGTTAATATAAGACTCGCAGCGTGAACAGTAGGCTACCATATACGCTCGGAGCGGGCTGCTGGGCACTGTATGGAATAACATGTTGCACGTGCAGATTGGCTGGCAGGAATGCCCCTCACGTTTTAAGAAAATGATTTTCACTTGTGTTTCCACCTGATGCACGACACCACCTTAAAACCAAAATCATATGTGATATTACTCACAGCAGGCAGCGCACGGACAGACAAATTCCTTGAATCTTCTGAAAGACATTTTCTTTTTTAAATGAACCTTCTGCTACCAACCTTGATTCTGCTACTTTTGTTTTATTTTACATCACACACCTTCAGCGTAAAAAAAACACTTTTTTAATTCTCAATCCACTTTTCTTGTTTAAGATCACATTTTTTACACATTCCCCTACTCCTCTCTGCATATCCCTCCTGCTCTCCGGACACCTCTCCTCCTTAACCTCCCTGTCTCCCATCCCTCCCTCCAGCCGTCCCACACACACACACACACACACACACACACACACACACACACACACACACACACACACACACACACACACACACACACACACACACACACACACACACACACACACACACACACACACACACACACACAGACACACACAGACACACACACACACGACCGCCCTGGCTCCAATTATCTTCAAACACTTCTCTGGCACACGACCTTCGCAACATCCCCTCCTGATTGCACACAAATGTTATCCCAACCAAATTAGATTAATTAAAAATATTTGCAAAGCCGCAAGAATGTTAAGTCCATAATTTAGGCCCGGGGTGAAATATATTTCCATGCATAGCCAGAACACACACACACACACACACACACACACACACACACACACACACACACACACACACACACACACACTCATAGATGAACACATTTGAAAACACTGATTGATTTAACTGTGTGTCGCAGGAGCCTGGAGACCCTGAGAGAACGGATTGCATTTGAGTTTCTGAAATTATCAACAAGGATATTTAGACCAGAGGCTGTTTATGTGACAGGCAATGCTTATATTCAGATCAAACCGCTTCAACTGGTGGATCAAACACCAAGAACTGCTTTTTTATTAATGCAGTGCAGGCACTTTCCCTCAAGGAACAATTCTCAATGAAAACAACACTGGAATACCAAGGCCATTAATCTTTCTCTTCTCCTCCTCTCCCTCTGTTCTCTCCCCTTGCTTCCTGCAGGTGAGTACTGGCACAGTGTGAAGGACTCGGCGGTGGACCTGTCCTACCTGCAGGCGCAGAGACGGAGGCTGAGGCGAGACTCGGACAGCGAGGCCGTCAGCGCCATCGCCTCACTGTCAATGGGAGTTTCCCCTGACAAGTAGGGAGCACATATTCAATATGTTCTGCTTTAGCAACATCACAGTACTGAACTTCATGTATCTCACAGTCTTTCTTCTCCTCTCGTTCATTAAGGGAAATGGAAGAAAAACGGACAGAAAAAGGTGATTCTCTCTGAGGAAAGAGTCTACTGACAGCTGCCTTTGACCAAGTCTCTCTCTCTCACACACACACACACACACACACAAACCCACAGAATTTGGACTATCACTGGAAACAGATGTCCTCCACTGTATTCATCGCCTCCCAAACACTCCTCCACCTGCAGACCTACTTCAAACACACACTGAGATACAACATCCACCTGCGCAACATTCATACTCTCTCATGACGCCTCTACGTGTTGTCCTGAAGGGAGCGTTGGTTACTGATCTGAGAAAAAGTTCAAAAAGAAAGACAACGAGAGGCGGATTAATGAAGGATCTGCTCTCTCTTGAAGCGTCAGGAGCTGACAACTCACTTCTGACAAAGCACAGCTCTGCGACTTCACCTTGTAAATGACTCCCACAAGAACTGTTGTAACCTTGAAGGTGGGGTCAAAGGTCACCCTGGCTTAGTGGAGCCAATCACTCTGAGCAGAAGGAGTCATCCCCGCAGGACGTGCCGGTGACGGAGACCAGACACATCCTCCGCGTCCCACTATGATGATGTCATTTGTCCGACCGTGACAAAGATGCAATGAAGGACAAAGATCTTCTGATCGCTTTGCACTGCGCCGTTCTGGAATGTGAAAGGTCGGCCATGTTGACAATCAAACGTCTTTGTTTGTTCATGTTTTATTTTTTTGAATATTCACTCATTTGACCTTCGGCACACATTTCTGCGAATATCAGCCGGAGATGTTTAAGAATCCAGTATGAAGCTACAGTAAAGTCCGACATACATGTGTTTCATATTGTTTTGTATGTCTGAATATTTTCTTAAATCGCTTTTTTCTTTCTTTCTTGGCCTGTCGGGCGAGCACATGCAGAAAGTCTGTGGACGGCTGCAGTTATTGGTGAGGCTCCCCGGCAGATAAAAGCAGCCTTTGATGAAGGGCATCTTTAAAGTGTAGACATACTGTAGTTGTGTAACAGTGGCATTAGTCACAATGAAGAGCTAATACCTCTCGTCATTGGAGTATCAATATCAGGGGAGAAGGAGATTCTTTACACGTCTGCAAAGACACAAATCACCCATGATGCCTCAGTACAGCGTGACCACTCAGAAAATGATTGTATATACGACGATGCTGATCACATTTTGGATCATTCAAAGACAAACCTAAAGTGCACTTACCCTCAGGATGGGAGGGGTCTTAAAATCTGAACTTTGATGATGTTTGTTAAGTGGACCAGTGTTTCTACCTGTGGATGAGCATTCCTGCTGTACTTTTTTATTTCCTTATATTTCCTTTATAACGAGGACATGACGTGTCCTTGGTTTGTCATTGACGTGGCAGCGTTCTGTTTACCGTCAGCAGCGGGGATGTTTTTGCGCCCCGGACCAAACATACGATTTTAGCAGTTAAGATAGAGCAATAGCACTGAGATAGTTGAATACCCACAGTGCAATTGGACACAGGTTAAGCGCAACCAAAGTTTATGAGAACAATGTGCCGTCCCTGGACTGGCATGGCTTAGAGAACTTCAAAGACTTTGAAGAGTTTGTGAATTTTTCTTTTTTCTATCCAAACAGTTGAACAGCACCAAAAGCACAGGATGGATATATAAACACATTTCTTGAAAAAAACAACTATTTATACATTCAGATTCTGTGTCTTTGAAGTGCTTTTTACATGTGTAACGCAATGAAGACGGTGCTATGGATTTAAAATGCAGTATGTTTTATTGTTTTGTTCCTTTCCTTATGTTGCATTGTGTATGCATCCAAAAACCTGCCGAATCTTTGTTGATGTTATGAAAATGTGAAGAAAAAGAATGACGGCGAGTTTCAGCTCCATATCATGAAGGACAGTCCGAGTGTAGCTTTTGCAGTTTTACAAAAGAAATCATGCAGCGACCTGACATATCATATGTCTTATCTTTTGTCTTAATTAATGCAAATGATTTATTTTTATATTTGATATCAAAAATGAACCCTGTGCGTACTTAGAGACCAAATTGTCCGCCTGTGTGCCTTGAAGTGTCATGCTGACCAACCTTTGTGAAGGTAGCCTTAACAAACTGGATCTTAATCAAAACTGAAAGGCCAGTTTCATTCTTAACTGACTATGTAAAGTGTAAATATTGACTTTGTTTTTTGTCTGCCTTTGTCTTTTCTACTATTTTTGTTTCCAAATAAATCCTTAATAAAGGTTGATTCTATTAATTTGCATAAGAGCTTTTATTTACTCCTATAAACATATAAACTTGCTTCACTTTAACGGTAAATTCACCACGGCTTCCTGTCCTATCGGAATTTTTGGACTGAAAGCCAAAAGCTAATGCAATATTCCTTTGACTATCAAAATATAACACTCGTATACAGCATTAAGAAAATATTTATTGTCCACAGGAGTTGACAAAATAAAGATTATCAAAAGCAAATGCAAATCAATACAAAACACAAATGTTCAAACAGTAATCAGACTACTTATGGTTTCAAATGAGTCCTCTGTTATGGCTGAAATCACAATATCAACACTTTGGCGCACTTTACAAGAAACTGTCTGCTTTTCAATTTTTTTGCATTATTTAATGAAAACACTCTTAGCAAGCGGCTTTCTTAAAGCGGCGGGAAAAAGATATACATGAATCAGTATTTTTTGCTTTTTTAAAAAACAACTTTTTGCGACACATAACAAACACTAAAGTGAAAATAATCAGAATAGTGGCTGAACTATGATCAGTGGTTTAAGACGTTTTCCCATGGGCATTTTCATTAAAGCAGAGTGTAATGCATGAGCAGAGTTGAAGTTATACAGTGTGCATACACCAAATTCACAAACATACACTTACTCAAAAAAACATACACAATAAAAAGAAAGCTATCCAGTTTCTACAGCACAACAAGCAGAAGATCTTCGTCAGATTCCACATGCTCCTCTTCCTCCCACAACACGGGGCTCTGAGAGCCAGAGCGATTAGCTTATTAGCATTTTAGCTGTAAACATTCATTGGCTGTGACCGCCCTCTAACCATCACTGTGCCATTATCATTACTCATCTTAATGTCCGTCTGGCAGTGAGTCATCCGATGCCAAGAGGATGATGGTTATCACGGTGTTACCCAAGGCACTCGAACCAGCAGCCATTTTGTTTCTTTGTCAACGCAGGCCAGCTGTTTGTTTGTTTGTTAGTTTGTTTCTCTCCTTGTTTGCGTCATTCAAAATGTTCAGCTCTTGACTCTCGAATGAGGAGTCATTGATGTTTCAGAAACACAGTTAATCAAGAAAACATCTCAGTGTCATGAGGCAAGCACGTGTCCAGAGAAAGAGGAAAAGTTGTATGAAAGATAAAAGGCCGGGGAATTGTCTTCTGATGTTTCTTTTTTGAGAGTCGAGGATTTTCCATCGTCAGTTTTCTGCAAAGATAAGAAACCAAAGATGAGAACATTGATAGGATCATACTTGTAATACTTGTGTGTCAGTCTGAAGCATATTTGTTTCAAAAACAACTCTGATATGTTGAGGTTATAAAATGTGTAAAAGCAAACAAACACTTTGGTTTCGTGCAAAGCGGAAAAATCCCTACAGCTCCTTTGACTTCTCTTCTCTTGTTTTAACAAGCAAACATTTCATCTGGAGCATTTTCTGTTCACCCTAATTACAGTGTGCCTTTCCGTGCTTCGAGAAAGACACACAGAGAGAAGAAGAAGAAGAAGTCTGTAAGACAGAGTTAGACGTATGTTTGTGGGTGTCAGCTCATCACATGACTTTCATTATGCCATAAACACGCTAATGTGTAAATTGACAAACAAAAGCTCGTCTTTGTGCTGGGCGACCTCTAATCTGTTGTTCACATTTGTTCTATTCTTCTTTTTATCTCACATTGTCTGAGTTTTAAAGTTACAGCATGGAGGATATTTAAATATATAAATATAGGTCATTCAGAACATTTTTTTGTTCATTAAGAATTCATATAATCTACTTTTATTAGTATTTATCTCTCTTTACCCTAGTTTTCATTGGTAGTGGCAGACTCCGCCACTGTTGCACTGGATCTAAGCAAGAGAGATCCACTGGATATAATTGTTAAAGAAAACCCCTTAAAATGTGTTTCTGGAGTTTTTTTGGTATAGCATTTTTTATGTCAAGATTTTGCACTTTTCTGGGATTCGAAGATACTTTTATTAATGACAATGGATGACAGACCCTGATGCATTTTTCACTAAAGTTATGTGCCGTTTTTGTCGCCTACGTGTCAAACCAGAAGTCATTCCTCCATGGCTCTCTATCCCTGCAGCTGTCTGAGCGAGGCCCACACACACACAACTGCACATATGCATGTAGCAGTGAAATACAAATACACTCATATACACCCACACACACACACATGCACACACAACAACAACCCTCCCACCTGCGCTCGCCTCACAGTCTCTAAAAATAAAGAAGAGTATCAGAAGCCACAACTTTTGGATGAACAATTTTTTTAAACGCATTCGAGCCGCAGAGGACTTTACATCTGGTCCTGGATCAGTCCAAAGTAAAAGCCAGAGATTTAATATGCACAGCAGAGCACCAACAGCTGGTCAGTGCAAACTGTACAACAAAAAACACACACATTCACACACATGGACGCAGCAGAGCCAGGAGTTCCGGCAGAGGAAAGAGCAGTGACAGGCATTTTGATTATAGTATAAACAAAATGGAGAGTATTGTTTTTTCCAACTCAAACAGAACCATCTCTCATTCTGAGCCAGACACCCACACGTCCTAAAATCAAATCATCAAAATGTACTCAACTGCCTGCTGTGTGATCATATTTGTGATGGTGTGTGTGTCTGTATGCTATAGGCTATAGGCTATCAAGGAAAAATGATCTCTGCCAGTAAAAGTACAACAACATATTAGAAATACTTGAATATTCAGTAAGTCTAAGATGGTATTTTAACAACTTTCTAGTTTCTTTCTTAGTGGAAGAATACTTTAGATGAATACATTACAGAAACACTGTTAAAACAAAATGCTGCAAAAAATACAACCTCCGATCACTTCTTCTTACACTTAATGACTAAACGTGTTTTAACCGCAATATATTGTCAGTTATTCCTTTTACTTTTGTCCGCTCCCTGAAAACCATCTGCCATTCTGTAGAGGAGATGTGGATTAAGATTTTTAAGTTTTCAGGAAACTTAAAAAGAGTCTGCATCTAATATTTTGATGACACCCTTGATATATTGGACCTTCTGTGGGTTTTCAAATAATGGAGTGATATACATGTAATTTAACGCATGTGTACACACTGTTTTAAATTACATGCATCATGCACAAACACCTTTGATGTTTCTCAGACTCTTTCTAACCTCATCGTCTTTCCTAAACTTAGACGTTCAGGTCAGTTTCAGGCCTTACATTTGTAGCACTTTCTGCGGCGGCCCCTGCAGAGCTGATGATAACAGGCAGAGCCGGCAAAGTGGTAGGTAATAACTACCGCGTTGTGTTCAAGGACACACTCAGCTACCACGTGCAGAGGCCTTGGCATTCCATCCACAGCACTGAGTGGAGCCCTGGACGTCTGCTGCTGAGGCCACTAGAGGTTTAATAATAACGCGAGTGGAACACCTGCAGTGTGCACATGGCCGGAGGCTGCTTGTGTGTGTGTGTGTGTGTGTGTGTGTGTGTGTGTGTGTGTGTGTGTGTGTGTGTGTGTGTGTGTGTGTGTGTGTGTGTGTGTGTGTGTGTGTGTGTGTGTGTGTGTGTGTGTGTGTGTGTGTGTGTGTGTGTGTGTGTGTGTGTGTGTGTGTGTGTCTGGACAGTGTAATGTATATAGGTTGTATGTAGCCTGTGTGTTAGTACTTGAAGGATTATTTGTGATTCCTGCACAGTGAATAAAGTGTACTAAAGTTTACTTTGAACCATCATCTATCTGATGACATGGAGGTCTCTGCACTTGGTCACATTTCTGCCCCTTTGCTCTTTTTCCAATTAAGTGCTTATCTTGTATGCTGTCATTCTTCCTGGCTTCCTTTTTTTCTAAAACTTAAACTGTGGTTCTCGTAAAACTAAAACCTGGAGTGTTTTAGAGATTAAAATCCCCTAAACAACATCTGCAAGTGTATTCCTGTTTACCAACCTGCAGATGTTTTCACATAGACACACTCACACAAACCCCCCCCCCCCACACACACACACACACACACACACACACACACACACACACACACACACACACACACACACACACACACACACACACACACACACACACACACATGCATGCACACACACACTGCACAGGTAGTTAAAGTGCACTACAAACACACACATCGTTACACATGTACATGCGCTGACACACACACACAGGCTTGTGTGCCTGACCCTAACCTTGGTACACACACCTTCCTAATACCTCACAACTGTTTCCAATCTAAAGGTTCCTGCTTGTCTGGGCCCCGGCGGGGCCTGATTGCACGATACAAGATCCTAAGGAGAGAGGGCAAGGCTGCAGGGAGAGAGGGAGAGAGGGAGATGTGCCTCCACTTATTTCTCCCCACTCTCCCTTTCTCTCCTTCCTTTCATGCTGTACCTGTGCAGGAATCTGGTGTCTGTTAAAATGGTTGAAAAAAACCAGGCCCTGTGTGAAGTTGATCCTTCAGATTCTGGAGGAAAACATTTGTCTTAAATACATCAGAGGTCTGTCAAACACTGCAGAGTTTAGATTACTATGATGATAATGTGCTGTTTAGTTAGTTTAGTCACAATGAAGTGAAACAACTAGAGTGCTTAAAAATGCATTGCAACAACCTTCCATTATATTTGACTATGTTAGCTGTTTTAATCATGGCAATGATTTTAAGAGTCTATACAGTACACTGGATTTGTTTGTACGGGATTTATAGATATTTATTTCATTACCGTTTACAAACATAAAAGAATTATTTGCATTGTATCTCATTTGTTGATCATTTTGACAATTTCCAATTACATGGAGAAAATGAACACATCATTTGCAACAGTATTTTTAATTTTGCCAAATATATTTTTGAAGGACTTTTACTTGACTGGAAGATTTTCTTTGACAGCAACATCTCTTTTTGCAAGAGTTGCACCCAAAATGGTAGAATCATTTGCACAAACCAACACAGAACAAACATATTTGTTTTGATTTGATCCTTTATGTTATCTAAGTCACGTACCATTTATTAACTAAGTCAGTTTTAATGTAACGAGAAGCAACTAAATATCAGCATTTTAAAATCTAAGAAAACCCGAACAAAAAAAAAAGAAAAAGAGAGAAATAATTAGTTTTAGGGATCAGTGATCTTTTACTTTATATTATAATATTCTCGTGTGAGTAAAACATACTAACATTGAAACATCAGAATTAGAAACATCATTTGTAATATTATAAAACTGTAAATGTGTTTTTTTTTATGAATCTGTTATACCTCGGAAAACACTTTTTGTATATTTGTGTTTTTACGAGGTAGATTTTATATTTTTTCCCCTGGTTGCACAAAACTCACAGATGTCAATATCCAAATCGATAAGTACTGAATGTAAACAGAGGCACCCTCATCTTGCTTTGATATTTAGTTATTTTAACTACGTTTAAACTGAGTTTAAATTATCTTGTGATCATTACGATGATTTGTAAACATCTCAGTTAATGTCCAGTTTTAAAGGAGCTTTACAGATCAACCTTGCTTTAAGTTGTTTAGTCTGAAAATATCTGTGATCAATTCTTACATTCTACGTGTAGGACAGATTTATACATTTAGGGAAATGTTTTATGTTTGCGTTAGTTTGAACAGGATACTTAAAGAGATCTTGACCAGCACAGATTATTATTTTTTTGTAATCCTGTCTGCTTCTTTTTAAAAGTGCATTTGCTGTATTTTTTGTTGAAAGCTACAAATAATATTCTGAAAGACAATTACGAATAACCTACAAAGTGTGCACATGACATGGCGAAACAGAACTGAGTGCACAAAAGTGCATGTTTGTGTTTGTAGGATTTCTGTGTGTGTTCATGCAGTCTGTGTGAGTGTGTGTTTGCAGATTTTGTCCATACCTGGGGGGCTGCAGTGGAGCGTCTTGTTGCACTGGATTAAACTGTAAGACAGACAAGGGAGAGCAGTGGAAACAGTGGAGGGGAACAGGGTGAGGGTTTAAAGATCCAACTCTGTCTATACAGATGAAGTGAACCATCATGGATCACATAGATGTAGCAGGAATGTATAGGGAGGTTTGAGATGAAAAGGTTAAGATCAGACCAAGAGGGGAAGAATTCAGAGGTTCAGAGGTCAGGAAGTGGGTGCAAACACAGACACGGGCGGTGGGGTGGAGATGTGGACACGAGAGGGTTTAGGAGAGAAGTTCGATGGGATCCTAGTGGCTTGCGGACATGGCCCAGGCCCCCTCCATCCTCCAGACGGAGAAGGCGTAGCTCAGTCTTTCGTGGGCCAGGTAGTTGCAGCTGGCTAGCTTGGCGTCCATCTCATCGCTCTGCAGCACCTGGTACAGGAAGTCGATGTAGCGCGAGGCCAGCTTCAGGATCTGGATCTTGCTCAGCTTGTCCGAAGGTAGTGTAGGGATGATTTTGCGTAGAGATGAGAAGGCATCGTTCAGGGACTGAGTGCGTTGACGCTCCCGCACGTTTGCGATAACACGCTGAGTGTGGAGGTCCTCAAAGGGCAGATCGAGTCTGGGCCCCAGCGGCGTGGGGGCCAACGACACCACTGTCGTTGGGCTTTTCTTCACCTTCTTGGGGCCTGACGGCAGCAGGCTGGTGGGACTGCCGGTGCTGCTCTCCTCTGTCTGACCCATGCTGTCCTTCTTGGGGAAAGGCGTACGCTTTCGATTTCCTCCTTGGTGATTCTTCTTCGATCCTCTCTCCAATTCCTCCTCGCTGGCCCCCAGACCTCCTTCAGGGGAGTTAGTGCAGGACACCTCTTCTCTCATTGTACTGTCCACAAACAGCCTCTCAGTTTCCACTGCAAAGACAAGAAGCTGTGATGCTTCTCTCAAACCTGGACTTGGAAAGCGTGTGTAACAAAAGTCTTCTCTCTCGTTAGGGAAAGTTACGGCTTCTGAAGCTCCATCGGATTGGACGTCGCTCTGGCTGTCCTGTTTCCTGGTTACCTTGTTAAATATCTAACTTTCACATTCCCCTCTCAACCTGGCAGACAGAACAACAACAAACCATCTGACAGGCAGGTCCACCTCCGCCTCTTTTATACCCAAGCGCTAACTCGAGGCCTGCGGGCAGTTCTGTTTGGCTGAGAGGACTTCCAGAGGGCGTGGTCCGGCATTAGCCAGGCAGAGAAGCAGGAAGTGTGTGTGTGCTGGGCGGGCGATAGAGGAAGGGGGTAAGTGGAGCTCTCAGCCAATAAGAAGTGCTGTGTCTAATGTTGCAGGGATGTCTGAGGCTTTATGGGTTCCAGATTTGGGGCTGGAGCGTCAGTCCACATGCTCTCATGTCGGCATTCTCATTCATCAACTCGTTATTAGGAAAAAAATGAATCTAAATGTTTTATTTCTGACAATCAGCAGTGTAAACTTTTGTATACAACATTTATATTGAGTATTTTTATGAACACAAACAACAGCTTTATTTTTTGTAACTCAAAGCAATAAATCATGTGTATTAATGTTGTGCTAAACATTTTTTAATTTTTCCTTTACGAAGCATGTGTTTACACTGCTACGGTTTTTACCATGCTGATAACCAGACACTATAAAAACAAATCTGTTAAACCTGTTGGACGGAGTCATCGAAAATACTGCAGATTAAAAAGCTCAAGGAGGATGTGCAGGTTAAACAAAGTGCTTTATTATGTAGACCTGTTGTTTATAAATGGTACAAATTATACATTTGACCATGACAAACTGTAAAGTCTGTTTTTTCATGAATTCGTTTGGCCACAGCAGCTTGGGTAGATCTGAGAGAAAATGTGAAGTTGTGCAAGAACACATCCTGGAAATAATTTCACAAGATGAGCTTTTTCCCTGAAATATCATAGTGTATGTAAATACTGACGTACACTGAGCAACTCTCTATGACCCGTTCTCTAACACCAACGAGAGCTTGGGTTAAAACCATGACGTCAGCTGCTGCCTGTCATCCACCTTGGGTTGGGAAAGCAGCACAGACAGGACCCTAAATAACCCCTGACCTCAGTGGCCCTGTGACCTCGGTCTGCAGAGGTGAGGGAGCACCTAATTGTGCCATCCACGGCCCCGAGGCAAAGCCAACACATGTTCTACCTCCAAACCGCGAACCCATCTGGGTCTGCACCCACTTAAACACATTTGCTACGCGTTGCCAGTCATGACACAGCAGAGAGGTCTTCTTGGAAAGATGACAAGACATGTTTCTGGCTCATGTTTGAGCAATCTGCGTGGGACAACCTACAATTTTAAACAGAACTACTTTATCTAACTTTGAATCCGGATCAGTTTCCCAACATTGTATCAGTTTATACCTTCATGCGTCACAACTCCAGTGACTCATGTGTGCATCACCGCAGGGAAATGTTGTGGGGAGCTTTCTGCACTCTACGCTGCGGAAACTTTGTACTTTTTGATGACAGCATACCTAATGGTAGCATTTACATGTCATCACCTCCAAACAAGAGTGGTTGCATCTTTGATGTTTCCAATACTGATTTAAATTCAGTCGCCGTCTAGACATGCCATTCAGAAACTTGTATTATTTACTAACAAAAGTTTCCTGGGTTGTAACTAAGCCTCATTTCATTCATGACACGCTGCTTGACAGCTCCTAGCCAACAATTTGGGTGTGATTGCCGCGGCATTTGAAGGACCGCGTGTGCGGAGAGCAGTTCAGAAGATTTTTGATGAGCCTCGTGATTGCACTGGTTTACATTTCAGTCAGAGAGGGACGTTTCAACGGAAAGTAGCTCGATCCCAGTTGGGTTCAATCAACTTGAAAAAAAAAAAAAACTCATCTGGCCATCAAAGCAAGGCCATGGACAGAGACAGTGAATTTTATGAGATTGTATTTACATAACAGGCCGAGTCATCTCCAGGATTAGCTGGTTTTAGAAATAAGTCTCATTGAGAGCTCCGGTGGAGACAGTGGAGGGACAGCAAAGTCACTGTTTTCCGGGCTAATCTCGGGAGCTGCCGCTTACCTTTTAGTGAAACCGTGGCTCCGTGCCACCATCATGGAAAAAATGAGCTAACAAAGCGAGTAGGCCTAGAGGAATGTCGTGGCACGTCGAAGAACAGAAGGGGAAAGAAAGAGAGAGAATGGAAGAAGAATAAGAAAAGGGGAAAAGAAAAGGAGAAGAAAGGCAAAGAGAGAAGGGGGAAAAAAGTGAGGCTGTCCAAACAGAACCAGATGCAGGAGTGTGGAGGCTCGTTTGATCTCTGTCCTCATAGGCTGATTGATGTTGCACATTTCATTTCCTTGTCAGAGTCTTGACATAATGTTTCACTAAACACTCAGGCCCTGCTCTCGTCCTTTGTTTTATTTCCATGGGGGTCGTAATTAACCCTTTCTGGAGCTGAAAATAGATCATGCACATATCAATATATCTATATATATATGAGCTTACAGGCACACACACACACACATGGGGGTTTGGATATCAAAGAAGAGGGATGTATTGTCTGTTTCTGTCTCTACAACATATGGTTTGCTCCTGACTGAAATACTGCACTGAGGGGCGGCCATGTTGAAACTTTTGAAGTTTTCCAGGGGAAAAAAATAAAAGAGGGAAAACAGTTTCTTTAAGTTCGTAATGCAGTCAATTCAATTACCGTCATACACCAAAAGGTCGTAGCGCTGCGGTGACGTGCTCAGCTGGTCGGAGCGCGGCAGTGTGACCAATCATAAATGATGTGTTTGGAAATCCATGCTGGCTCGACAAAAGGAACTAATCATTAAATTCCTCCTCACCTTCACCCCAGGAGTTTCTTCACCCTCATGGCTGCCGTTATTGATGTTTGCACACTGCACCACGCACCCTCCTCCACCCCACAGCCACCCGTCCATGGCTCCATCCCTCCCGAGGAGCCTGCAGTGGCACAAAGGCAGACATCTGGGACCCATTTCCCCCCTGGAGAAGCCCTTCCTGTGGGGTATCCACTTAGAGGGGTTCGGGAGGAGTGGGGTGGGGGTGGGGGGCTGTAGGGGTGAAGGTGCATGGTATGTGGGGGATGGTTGGTGATGGGACATGGTGGAGTGAGGGGTGGGGGGTGGGGGGTGGGGGGGCTTGCCAACTTCTAATGAGGATGAGAGAGGTGTGGATGATAAGCAAATCTAATGCACAATGTGCAAGGGAGTATGTTATCTCCACCTGCCTCTTCCCATTGATGAACAGATGAGCTAGTTCAGGAAGTTGGGAAATAAGCTTATATTTTGCCAAGACTTTAATGAGAAGATTGATATCCCTCGCATGTCTGTGTGTTCAATATGAAGATAGCTTAGCATAAAGACTGTAAAATGGGGGAAACAGGTAGCCAACATCAGCATATCAGAGCCTCTTGAGATCAGTCACAAACTTTTGTATCTTGTTTTTTTTAAATCCACAAAAGAAGTGTAAACATGACAGTAACAGGGGATTTCGTTACCTTAAGACGGAAACAGGCGAGCTGTTTTACCTTGTTTACAGTATTTGTGCTAAGTTTGTGCTGAGCGTGACATCCAACTTTGTATCTTAATCTCTGCAAGAGAACCAATAACTGCATTTCCATAAATCATCCAACTATCCCATTAAATCCAAGATTTCAAATGATAAATCCAAATCATAAACAGATTATTTACAGAGATTTGTGGTAGGAAAAAAGGCACAGACATATGTTTGTAGAGATTTTAATTTATAAGATATTCAAATGTATATAACTAATAAGCCATCATGGACAGGACATCCTTAAAAGCCTTAAATCAGCCTCTCATTATGAATGAAATAACAATAAAAATAAAAGTTATAGTTACTTCACATGAGATATTCTTTTGTCTGTATTGTATTTTTCCAGCACTCCTCTGAGAACATATGGAAAAAATATGTGTAGTATACATAGTATTTGAAAATGATCGAAAATGTCACAGTTGTAGGAATATCAGGTCAAGCAAATCTCATACATCCGCACAGTGCGTATGAGCATATCTTTTTTTTTATCTGGTAGACTCTTAATACATATGATTGATTAGATAACCCTAACCCTTCTTTTATTTGTTGCTTGTTGCTAATCCAATAATGAACACTAGATAAAGTGTGTGTCTGTCTGGAAACCTCTCTCTGCAGAAGAAGTTAATGTGGCACAATTATACCTCAAGAAAATAAACAAAATTAAACTTGAAGTGTTTTGTCAAATGTTTATAGAGTCATTTAACATGTGTGTTTTTCAAATATAAAAGTGCAATCGTGCAATAAAAACATTTTTCTCCGTGCTGCGTGCAAGCCTGTATTATTCTTGTTTAGCTGTGGCTTATCTTCTCGCATTAGGTCGTAATTTATCATAATATTTAGTGCTCAAGCTTCCTTCAAATGTCCCTGCTTTCATGTGTAATTTAGCCAATATCCTGCTCTGGCTCTGATTACAGTGTTTAAGCGCCGAGGTTCGTCCATGGCACATTGCACACAGTCCCAGTGGAGCTCACAGCTGAGCTGGGGATACACATGCAGCGCCGGTGCACGTGGAGCAGCAGGTTGGGCCGCATAAAACCTTGTGTGGCTTATCCTGGGACATCCAGGGAAGAAGCAAGGCATGATGGTTAGAGAAGACTTTTACCGTACAAACACATTTCTTTAGCACTTTTTAACAGGTCATTGTGTCTGCTTTATAAATCTGAGTTGGTGAAAAACCCTGTCCTTTGGTAGTAAAGCACTTATATTTGTAGATGATCATTAATGAAAGCACCTTTCCGGAAAGCAAGGTCATATGGTCCATTCAGTCTCAACCTAACAACGAAAAAACGAAAAAACATTTCTATAAGGCATCCATATTTTTTAAATGGATCCTAAAATGGTTACGAATTTTCTTCATGAAGTTTTTCACTGTTTCACAAAAAACACATGTTAAACAAACAAGTGGAAGATATCGCATTAATAATTTTAAGGTATAAGGCTAAATGTGTGTGTGTGTGTGTGTGTGTGTGTGTGTGTGTGTGTGTGTGTGTGTGTGTGTGTGTGTGTGTGTGTGTGTGTGTGTGTGTGTGTG